TACAACATTTCCATATAGGATAGATACAAAGTACAAGCCAATCACATCCCACTGGAAGCAGCAACAGTGGTAGAAGTGGAAACAGGGACTATAGCAGGCTAGGGTCTAGAACTAGCAGCTCTCAGGTTGCTTGTGATAGAATTAGATGCCTGGTATTATACTCTATGTTTTGCTGCACTGAAAGAATGTTACAAGCTAGATGCCAGTGGCTAATGCCTAATCCTAACTACACAGGAGGTTATGACCCATAATCTTGAGATTCAATACCAGTCGGAGAAGTCTAAGACTCTAGATCCAAACTAATTGGCAAAAAGGCTGGAGACATGGTTAAGTAGGAGAGCACCAGTCAAGCAACCAAGCTGAGCAAGCATAAGACCATGAGTTCAAACCCAAGTATCAGAAAAAAAAAAATATTACAGACTCAGTAATTTAGAAAGGAACTTTTTCTTACAGTTCTAGAAGCTGGGAAGTTTATTATAAGATGTGGGCATCCAGTTAAGGTCTTCTTGCTGTATCATAATATGGCAGAGGATATCACATAAGAGTGGAAAATATCTCTTCTTCTTATAAAATCACTCAGCCTCAGGACCTCATCTAACTCTACTTCCCAAAAGCCCCAAGCTTTAAATCACATCCATTTATCAAGTCTGTAATACATGAGCTTTGGGCAACACAATCAAACTGAAGTAGGGATGTTGGATCTGGTGTGCATTTTGGCCACATGGTGGATGATAAGAAGTTGAATCTGGTGGGGGCCATCTGTCTTGATGATGGAGGCAGGGAAGACCCATCTCCCAGATGATGAGCATGCCTGAATTCCTAGAGACAAGGGTGGTTATTTACTGGATTTGCCAGTCTTGGGTCATGAACTCGCAAGCTCCCTGTGACCCTGCCCTGCCCTGACCTTATTTAGGTCCAGACCAGCTCAAGTGCCATTACACTATGTTTGTCTCCTGCTTCTCCTCTGGTCAACATGGCGTATCACTTCAGCTCCCCATTGGAGTTGATCTGGGTTGTTGGCATTGTATTTCTGCTCTTTCTTTCCTCTCCAGCTCTCATCGCTCAGTTTTCTAACAGTGTTCAGTGTATTTTCTGGGTTGCAGATCCTTGTGACAAAAAAGTCCATCTGCAGACCACTGGTTCTCCAATAAAGGTTCGCAATTAGGCCTCTCAAAATGGGGCTTCTCTGTTTTCTCACTGTGCGACAAAACTACAGTATATAATCCACAGGCCCAGTGACTCCAGCACGTAATCTTAGATACTCAGAAGTCTGGGATCAGATGATCCTCATTCAGTCCCAATGTAAAAATACAAAATATACTACACTTTGCTTGGACACATAGGATTAAAAGAAACATTGTTGGCACTATATAGCATATGACCAGTCTTTGTGGTTATGTTTCCAGTCTTTGTGTTCTGTTCAGGTCAAATCTTTTCCGCATTTTTCTCAATATCAATAGGCTATAAAATTTCCAATTCTCCAAGTATGTATCATTGGTGATGTTAATGTGTGTGTGTGTGTGTGTGTGTGTGTGTGTGTGTGTGTGTGTGTACACGCACACATGCATATGCCAATACTGGCGCTTGAACACATAGGCCTGGGCATTGCCTTTTTTTTAACTTCTTCTGCTCAAGGCTGACAATCTACCACTTGAGCTATATCTACATTTCTAACTTAATTGGAGATAAAGAGTTTCAGACTTTTCTGCCCAGAGTAGCACTGAACCATGATCCTCAGATCTCAGGCTCCTGAATAGCTAGGATTACAGGTGTGAGCCACCAATACCAGGCTTTACAAGCTTTTGCTTAACAATTTCTCCTTTAGTTCACATCCCTTCTCTCGTATTTTACTATAATACGCTTATAGAAGGAGACCCCAAGTTGCACTTTTTACCTCATTCAAGTGTCTCATAGGACACAAACCAGAAGAGTTGACAAGAGCTGCTTCTTTTGAATTCCATTAATTCATCAATATTCATATACGCAAAAGGTCTTTTAGAAACATTTAACTGTTTAGCAAAAGAGAACTACTATGTTTGATGGTTCATATATTCAATAGTTGATATATTCAATAGTTGATATATTTGATAGTTGTAACAACCATCAAAAAGATTTTTAAGCCAGGCACTGTGGGCTCATGCCTGAAATCCTAGCTACTCAGGAGGCTGAGTTCTGAGAATCAATCATAGTTTCAAGCCAACCTGTGAAGGAAAATCTAGGAAACTCTTAACTCCAATTAATCACCCAAAAGGGAAGCACAGTGGTAATGTGCCTTTATCAAAAAAGTTAAGGGACAGCAGCCTGGTCTTAAGTTCAAGCCCCAGGACTGGCACACAGAAAAATTTAAATACTATCTCAAAAAATCTTTACTGTAACCTGTAGTTGTGTGTCTCACCATTTCACAGTTTGGAAAAGGATGCATTGGGATTGCTAAGGTCTTTAAGTCACAGTCATTAAGTGATACTCTTTAATTCAGCGCTATACTTTGTAACTCAATCAGCAAAACATAGAGAAGCCACATTTTGAGAGGTTGAATTGTGAGTCTCTAATAGAAAGCCCACAGCTGCAGGAAGACTCCTCTCTCAAAGATCTTCAGACCAGAACAGAGCTAGCACATAGCTTTTAAAGACAAAAACCTCATGTTGAGACAGAACAAGCCTTAACAAGTGTTATACATAGGGCAAACTGGATAAGGATACTAACAAAAGTGTTACATAAAACAAAGCAAGGGGGTGGGAATGTGGCTTAGTGGTAGAGTTCTTGCCTAGCATGCATGAAGCCCTGGATTTGATTCCTCAGTACCACATAAACAGAAAAAACCTCAAGTGGCACTATGGCTCAAGTGGTAGAGTGCTTTTTGCTTGAGCAAAAGCACTCAGGAACTATGCCCAGGACCTGAGTTCAAGCCCCAGGACTGGCAAAAACAAACAAACAAAAAACACAAAAGCAAGCTAAATGAGGATAACTTATTCCAAATACAAGAGTCACACATAGGCAGAGCTGGCTATCCAGGGGAACAAAAAAGGGGCAATCAGAACCCCAATTATCTAGGGGAAGCATGAGCTTCCTGGGGCCCAATAATTCATATTTTCAATTCAAAGAATGTCCTCTATCACTCTAAAGTTCTCAGAAAGTCCCATTTTCTATTAACTTCTATCAAGATGCCAAAATGGTATTACTTAGATTTAGTATCCTTATTTCACTACTATCAACTATAAAATGGAGAAAAGAGATGAATACACTAGGGAATTAAATTGAGATGTTCAAAATTAAACCATTTAGATAAATATTAGTTAATATAAAATGTTTCAATAAACTAAATTAATTGCTTTTTGGAGATGGGGACAGTGTAACTGAGCACAGGCTCTGGTGGGAGACTTTTCTAACTTTTAGATTAAAACCGCAATAGCCTATTGCCTATTGCATTAAATAAGCAACTTGTTAAAAAACTCTTTAAAATATCTTTAGTTCCACATATTTTAATATCACAGAAAAATTGTAATTTCAGAAAAGAAAAATCCTAAATCTTGTAAGGACACAAGTATGTGAAGGGGTTCTAGGACCAGGAAACACAGATCCTGTAACAATCTGTTTGATAAACTCAACCCTACTGCTATTATTTTCTTTAGTTTGTTGCTAAGGAATACTATTGCCTAAAGTAACTTAGCAGGAAACCTCAGGACGCCAAGAGAAAAGCAATGAGCCCAAAGCTCTTTCAAATTAAGCCATTCTATTTTAATCAGTCAATTCTGGTGACCCTTAATAAATTATCCCCTTTCCATCTTCAGGTCTGTCAGGTTGAACAACTTGCCGTATTCCAAATGCTTTAATGCAAGTGTCTGCAAAACAGTAGAGCTGCAATGAGGAGCTATAGTTGGGGATTCTCGCTCTGCAGTCATCCTTGTCTTTTCTTCTTTGACAACACTTCAAATTCAAAAACCTGGCAAGAATGATTTTCATATTTTAAGAGATCGAGTGCTGAGGGGTGGGGATGGGGGAAGAAGGTACTGAAAAGTGTCTCTAAAAATACAAAAGATATGCATTGGAATTTTTTTTTAATGAGGGAGGAAAGTTTGAGAACGCTACCCCACAACAAGCAAGGGAGCTGGAGGGACCAGAGGGCTGCAGCAGACACCTGTAACCCAGGGAGCGAGGAGGAGGGCGAGGGCGGGAGCGGGGGAGGGGGAGAGGGAGGGGGGGAGGGTCAGCTCCAAGACACCAATTCACCAAGGCAGGCTGGAGGCAGATGGGGACCCCGGTGTTCGCACATCTACCCACGCGGCCCACCTCGCCACAGACATCATCGGTGGGTAACCAGGATAGGTCAGAGAACCTCAGGGGCCCCATCGGCGCCACCTCCACAGGAGCCAAGCTACATTTCCCCTTTCGCGTGTCTTCGCCCTCTGCCTACGGCCCCTCCACAAGCTGAAATCCGTCCACATTACAAACTGGCTAAAGCTAGCCAAGCTGGACGATGTAATGGGGTATCTCCTGCGCTTTCCCCCACACGTCTTTAAACTGCTGCCCACCCGTTACTTTCCCCCACGCGCGAAAGCAAACCAAGCTAACCGCCGCCCAAGATCGGGCGTCAACGTGGCGGAAAGGGCAAAACCCACCAATCACCTGGGTCGCTAAGCCTAGGACCCGCCCACCATTCTCACCAGCCAATTACCTTCATGGTTCTTCTGCCACTCCCATCCACACAACCCCGCCCTCTCCCACACACGCTCTCCAAGTTCACTGCCTCAACTATCCAAACCCGCTGTGCCAGGCGCCCTTTTCCCCATCACGAGAGGCCATCGGTTTCCCACCCCCCATTCTAAAAGTGGAAACGACCTTCCTGGTAGCTGTCTCATCCAAAGGCGAGGCGAAAGGAAAGAGAAAACGCTGCCCAGAAGGCGCGTCCCGAGGCATTTCCCCTTCCCCCGGAAGTGATTCTCGCTGCGCGGTGGGGAGGGGTGGAGAATGACGGCTGGGTTTATCCCAGCATGCCCCGGGCTTCCGGTGACCTCTGGCCCTTTTCTCTAGTCCGCTCCTAGTGTCTGGCGTGCTCGCTCCTCCATCGCCTTCCCTGTCTCCGTCCACTGTGCCTTCGTACGCTGCCGGGTGACTGTGGCGTCCGCGACGGGCTGGGAGGCGGTGGCAGGGGACAGTCGTCATGGCCTCCTCTAAGCCCGTGGAGGCGGCAGTGGTCGCCGTGGCTGCGCCGGGCCCCGGGAGTGGGGTAGGCGGTGGCGGCGGGGCCTCGGGCCCCAGCCCGGGCGGCCTCCCTCGATGGCAGGTGGCACTGGCGGTCGGGGCGCCCCTGTTGCTGGGCGCCGGTGCCATGTACCTGTGGAGCCGACAGCGGAAACGCCGGGAGGCCGGGGGCCGGGGCGACGCCAGCGGCCTGAAGCGCAACAACGAGCGGAAGACCCCGGAGGGCCGGGCCAGCCCAGCCCTGGGGAGCGGACTTCCGGAAGCTTCGGGAGCCCACCTGGAACTGGTGAGATGGATACCCGCCGGGCCGGAGGGGGGACCCGAGCCTCGGCTCTTCCCAACCGCTGGGGCCCGCGAGGCGGGGGGCTTCCCATCATTCGGAAACTGCCGAGAAGCGGCCCCGGGGTTCCCGAGACTTCACGGCTGGTACCTTTGGAGGGACCCGAATTACAGTAGCTCGAGGGAGCCGAGGAGCCGCCTTCTTTAACCGTTTCCTTGGGATTTCCCGTAATACCTTTTTTTGGCTTTTTTTTCTTCTTCTTCTTAGTGACACAGCACTTAATTTGACAGTCGTAGGTGTAGAGCGCATTTACGGATGTAGTGTTTGTGTTTACAGATGGAGTGATTCATTAAAATGCAGTCCGTAACAATGGGTACGTTGGAAAAATGGATGGCTTCTGAGTTTGACCGAGGCCTAGAATTTATTCGAAAAGAAGTTTTTAATGACGAAATCCCGCCTTTTTAAAAGCTGTTTTGTTGTTGTTTATTTACATGGAGAAAGGAGGAGACCTACCACGAAAAAAAGGCGAGGGAAAAAAAAGAGAGAGCTGGCTTTGTTTTTTATTTTTGTTTTTCTAAAATTGAAAATAATACTGGTTGCATTTCTTTGTAATCTATGAGAGTATCTTAGACTGTTAAGGCTGAAATCATAATAGGTTCTCTGATACAGGTTAAGCGTTGGAAGCTCTGGTGAACTGCGCTCTCTGATTTTGTTAAACCATTAAGTACCCTTTTGGTATCTGACAGCTGTGTGCAGAATTAGCCTGGCTGCCTAACAATATTGGGATTGGTTGACGTGGATGTTTTTGTTTGAATGCGTTCTGGATTTGTACAGTCGTTGTACCGGAGAAAAGCAGGGTTCAGAGAAATTTAAGGGTAAATATTTCCAAGTTAGGTGCATATGTAAATCGCTTTTGTACATATACAAGCTCAAATACCCTCATACATGTTATTTTCATTCTGTTCAGGTTGCAGACATGTTTTTGCCATGTAGTCAGTCTAGCATTAAAGAAAATTTGGATGTAGGAATGGTTACAGTACAACACTATAAGATTTTATAGTGGGAATACTGTAGGTTAGTACCTATACGATGTGAAGCATTAGCTAGCCACTAAGAGAGCCGATCGCTCTTATGGAAGACATAAACATGGCCTATTTCTAATCTTTTTAATAAAGAAGATAAATTACACTCTGGAAGAAACCATGGAGTGGCAGGAGGAGAGTCATTTTATCTACCTGTTATAATGTCATTACTGTAGAATAAAATGATTAGAATATAAGATTTCTTGTTACATTGCCTCCACAACTAAGAACAGATGATTGTGAGAATGTCATTTTCATATGCATGAAATTACCCAAAGTCTAGTAAATGAATGAAAAGTACATAAAAAGTTCTCAGTTCTATAATAATAACTAAAAATACAGTTGCTGTACATGAAACTGTCATTTTCTTACAGTTTCAACCATGGCACCTCCTTCCATGAATTTATCAAATTCCTTTCAGAATTTAAATTTTAAGTTCCCTTTTCAGTTTTAAATTTTATATAAGTGGTTTGTAGCTTTGTAATTTTATAAAGAATATTTTTAATTACCTAAATGTGCTCAAAAATAGACTTTAAAATGGAATTTTTTGTATAATTGAAATGCTTTAAAAATTACTTACTAGTTTTGACTCCAGACAAAACAGACATCCTTGCACATACAATTGTTCAGCTTGTAAAATTTTTGTGGTCTTCTACCTAAAATCTTACTTTGAATTTCTGTTTTAGTAAAGTAATAATAAGAATGTGTCATTATGGGGCTGGGAAGGTGGCTCAGGGTAGAACGCTTACCTTGCATGCCTGAGGCCCTGGGTTCGATTCCTCAGCACCACATAAGCAAAAAAGCCGGAAGTGGCGCTGTGGCTCAAGTGGTAGAGCGCTAGCTAGCCTTGAGCTGAAGAGCTGAGGGACAGAGTTCAGGTCCCAAGACCAGCCTCCCTCCCACCCCCAAAAAAAAGAATGTGTCTTTTTTTGATGGAAATGCATATTTTAGTTTTTGGTGATTAATAAATATTTAGATTATTTTTTATCTTTTAAGTAATCTTACAAATATTTTTAGACTACCTAAATATAACCAATTTGTAATCAATGTGTTATCTTTGGTTGCATGCATTACTCTACTTTTCATAGCCTATAAATTGGCAGCCCCACTGTGTTTTGTAAATAGGTAAACATTTGCTTCATTCAACTCATTTAAAAAAGAAAACTGAAAATTTTTCTGTCTTCTCTACCTGAGCAAATAATACGTGAAAATTTTAAAGGAATGAATGGACAATAAAATTTGTCCATTTGTCTAGGTTTCATATTAGCAGTAGAGTGGAAAAATCCTGTATTTGGCTTTGTTTTTGTAGGTTGACTTATGTAAAGTCAACTAATGAGATTACTGGCTTTTGTCTCTTGGATTTGAAATTTTCTTGTGTAATGTACCTCTTATCTAGTTATCTTTATTTGTAATAAAAACTTGTAAAGGAGATGCAAAAGCTTTCATATTTGCTTTAATTAAAGAACATTTCAAGGAGTTACAGAGAAGTATCCAATCACAATTGATAGTCTCTGAGAACATTAAATTATATCCACTTTAAACAACCAGATTTTACTATGACATGCTGTTTTGCTTCAGTAAATTTTTTTAAAGCTGGAATTACAATTTTTCAAAACTGAAAAAGGGTTCTTTGAAAGTGATCTTGTCCCTAATACTGCTCAATCTAAATTTATCTTCAGGGACTACCAAAAATACTATTCTAGCTTCAGAAATGTCTTAGATATTTATCTTTTTCTAACATTTTATGATTTTTAAATTCACTTTTTAAAAAAGCATTGCGATAGTTATTTTAATGTACATACATAGTATTCCACATAAAATGTTTGTATTTTAATATAAACATACAATGCAATTTTATACTTTACAAGGAGATTCTGTACATCAGGGTAACATCTTAAAGTACAGAGTTTTCCTTTTTACTTTATGATTGTGCACTTGTAACTTAACAGAAAAAGAACACAAAATCCATTTTATTTTATTTTATTTTTTGCCAGTCCTGGAGCTTGAACTTAGGTCTTAGGTGATGTTGCTGAGCTGCTTTTGTTCGAGGCTATCAATGTACCACATGAGCTACAGAGCCACTTCCAGCTTTTTCTGTTTATGTGGTACTGAGGAATTGAACCCAAGGCTTCATGCATGCTAGACAAGCAGTCCACCATAAAGCCACATCCCAGTCCACAAAATCCATTTTTATACATTGAAAACAAACAAAAGTACCTTGTTCTATAAAGAGCATGAATATAATGAATAAAGTAGATCCTTCATGGCACATACAATCACAGAAGTAGCTCAGGATGTTGGATTCTGTATCAAGCTTGGCACAGTAAAAGAGAGGCAATGGAAGACCTGAAAATGTCACCTCAGCCACAGTTATAGGGTCTTAAGCCAAGTAGTGTCCACACTAACAAGACAGAACAATTATAAGTCAGGTTAACAGTTGGTGAGTGGCAACCTTGTATTTAGACCTCTAGTAGACTGGTAGAGCTCAGCTACCCTGTTAATGGTTTAAGGAGATGTGGATCCAGTATTGTTTCTATAACTACAAAACATCAACTATAATGGAAAAACTTGAATTCCTCCTTAGAAATGGCTGTTTTTAAGCCAGGTTTCTGGAATAGACAGGGTAAGCCATACTTAAAGGGATCAAGAACTGAGAGACTTGCTATATTATAATGCATTATACTGAAATAAATCATTGAAATAAAATTGTTTCTAATTATTTATGTTTGTCCTAGTCACCAATGCTGAGCCTTCAGTGTAAATACCTTTAGGTATTTGGCAATATTTCACATTTATCCTCCTAATGTTATTATTTTTCACTATTTGCTTTTAATATCCTGAAACACCCTCACTGATTGATTCTTTGCCCCATTCCACTGGCTTATTCTGCTTTTTCCTTTTGAGTAACTTCCTTGGTTTAGTTGTAAGCGTTCTTTTATATTCCACACACCATCCTCCAGTAGCACAGCTCTTCTATAATTTCTCATCTCTAACTTAAACCTCTGAGGAAGCCTAACTAAAAGGGATGTTCTTTGGGTCTTAAGTATTTAACACTCCCTGTCTTCTTTATCTAAAAATACCCTTTGTTAATTAATGTGCTTCATCTAATGACCCAGTGTCTTGCACTGTAGAAAGAGCAAAAAAAAAAAAAAAGTATGCAAAAGGATTTTCCTGGATGATATGTAAATGCTGTGCCTTATAAGGACATGAACATACACAGATTTTGGTATGGTAGGTGGAGATCTGAGGGGAAGGGGGTCTGTGAGGACCAGACACACTCACACTAATTTAAGTCCTCCCTAGGGGTCATTTTGTCCCATCTATGCCTAAGCAGATCACCAAGTGATTCCATAACAACTCAGATTTTCTTTCTTTTCTGTTTCAGCACTTAGCACATGATACTAGAATTGCTTATTTTTTTTTTTTTTTTTTTTTTTTTATTTTTTTTTTGGGTCCGGTCGTGGGGCCTGAACTCTGGGCCTGGGCGCTGTCCCTCAGCTCTTCAGCTCAAGGCGAGTGCTCTACCACTTGAGCCACACCGCCACTTCCGGCTTTTTTCTTTTTGCTTATGTGGTGCTGAGGAATCGAACCCAGGGCCTCAGGCATGCAAGGCAAGCGCTCTACCACTGAGCCACCTTCCCAGCCCAGAATTGCTTATTTTTGCCTTTACTAATTCCTAAATCTATGAAGACTCAGCTGGCTCCTCTTGTTTTCTATTGTATTCTCAAACTTGCATAGTGTCATGACAGAATGAATTAAATGAAGCTTTATTTTCTGACTAGTAGTTGAAGATTTGATATCTGTAAGTTTGTTGAGGGTAGGGTGTGCGGAAGATCCCTAATTAGGATGGTTATTTGTCATCTTTGTGGTGGTATGAAAGCAGCATTTTGTAGATATGGTACTTTGAATTTTGATATTTTTTTT